ACCAACACTCATTATCCAAACAGAGCTGAGGCCAACAGGATCAATGATCTCTACAATGACACCCTTGCCCGTCATTTCCGACAGGTGTTGAAGAAGAGAGAGAAACAGACCACATTGGACATGTTTTTCAAGAAGCAAGCTGCCAAAAAACAAAGGATGGAACAAGAGGAGATGACCCTGCAAGCTCCAGTAGCCTAAATCTGACTCCAATTAAAAAACAATAAAAAGAGATCTGCTGCAATGTGTAAAAAGTCTGTATCTGTATGAATGTGTAAAGAAAGTGTTCCTCCACCTCCTCCTCACAACATCTGACTACTCGGCATAATTGGTGACTGCTCCATTTTCATTTTTTTTATGATACAATATGGTTATTTTATGCTGTGGAACAAATTATATGTTTTTCGTGTTTCGTATAACAGACTTTTCACTTAACAAACATGCACCTGGAATGGATTAAGTACGTTATACGAGGCATCACTGTATTTGAGATGAAAGTTTAAAAAAAATGTCGTAATACAAAAATAAATATTCTAATTATTATGTTTAAAAATATATGTGAAGAGTAATACAGATTTGAGTATCTTCCAGTAAAAAAAAAAAAAAAAATTATTCAAAGGTAAAGTTTTTTCTAAATTATCTTTTTCAATGTAAAACTACCATAAAACTAAATATCTTTTGGATGAAAATAAATAATTTATAAATTTGTTAAGTATAAAATTAACCTATTGTTCCTGACAACATAAAATACATTTTGTATTTATCTTCATATTGTTCTGAATTATTTTATATACAAAAAAAATATAATAAACATCCCGAAGCCCGATGCATTGATACTAAACCAATCACCATAATAATAGCCCAATTAATTATATCATTTGGCTAAGTATTAAAATTTTATTAAACAAATATTTAATGAATAAACAAGTTAAAGTAGAGTAATTTTCTCTGCGTGTATGTTAAATTACTTATAGTCAGGGCTATTTTTTGGCCAGAATGTGTTAGTACCAGCACAAGATAGCATAAAAAGTATTGATTGTGTAATACCAACAGTTACTCAGTAAAACAATTCTATGTTCAGTCACTATATATGTGTACAAGCAATATTTTTTTTTAGAAAAAAAGCACTGCTTATAGTTTCTTGGTTTGCACATCAATATGAAACTACAATTCTACCAACCACTATATTTGTGTGTATATAGTCACATTATGCATATAAATATATTCATAAAGCAATAAAGTTTCAGCTCTAAATGATTCACCTGGGACCTTATCAGAGCTTCAGACCATGCCTGTAGGAGTAAAAAAGTCAAAGGACAGTCCATATGTGATTCTTCATAACACAGACCGATTTTCGGGTGTAATTTTGAACCTGAGATAAATTTAACAGAGCATGCAGCATGACTCCAATCACACCCCAGTAGCAATCGGTGCAATGGAATTTATCATGTTTTATGAGCTTTCCACCATCTCTAGTAAAGTGGAAAACAGTCGATTTTTAGCATTGTTTTGAGAAATAGTACCAGATTCTTTCACTTTCAACTCCTTTTTTTGGGGTCTTCAAAATTCCAGATACACCGATTTCAGAGATACATCTCACAAAGGGCACAAGTAGATCATCAGTTCCATTGATTTTTTTTACCTTTATGGACATGGTCTACAACTCTGGTAAGGTCCTAACTGCTTCGTTTAGTGCTGCAATTTTATCCATAAAACCATATAAATTTAAATCATTCATGAACGCCAACTATGTATAGGTGTATATTTATGTATGCATACATATTAAACATTAAGAAAATTTATCAAAAGTCTTCAAAATTCCTTGAGATATATGAATATAATAAAATTAATACATAAAAGTTTCCTTTTAAACATAACATCCATTTGTAAAAGATGGATGTTATGAATGGACTCGCGATTATATCTGTAATTGAATTATATGTTATCAAAAATAAAGAATTAATTAATTTTGGAATGTGATAATGATTGAAATTTCACTGAATATAACGAAAAACAAGCATTTCGAGCTTAAATATTACCAAACTGCCAAACCTACCTTCTAAACAAGCAACGCGTCACGTCTTCACAGCGCCACCTGAATAGATTGATTGTATAGTAAAATAATAATAATAAATATATATTATTTTATTTTTCTATTTAAAAAATTAAATAACATCTTAAAATTAATTTAATAATTTAAGTAACATATATTTTCATTTTAATGCATCAAATAAATTGCATATTTATACAATTTATATTTATACAATGGTTCTTTGGCGACCATTTTGATTTTTCTGGTGCAATTATAAATAAATTCTAAAAAATAAATTTTGTTAATAAGACAAAAATCGCCGTTTGTGGTAATTCGGATTATGCAGCTGAGAAATACTAAACATCTATATAAATATATAATTTTACTCTTCATATTGTGGGCACTATAAAAACCTTATTACCAAGCCCATTATGGATTCGACAAGGTTTATAATAACGGGCGGATGGCGGTCAAAATAGCAGCCTATGGCTATGGAGAACTTGGGATCGAATCCGAACTTAATCGAAAATTCCCCAAAAATTTTTCGGGGGTGTGGTGCGTCCGGATGGGAAAAATTTGAGTCTTTTTTTTTTATTTTTAAAAATAAATAATTGATCTCAGAATAATAAAATTGTTATAATAATATTAATGAAGATCTATAAATTATGTTGTTTTGTCCTATGAGATTTTAAGGTTCCGATCTGAGGGGTTGGTTCCCTTCTTGTTCAGGAATTTATTCTTAAAAAGGATTTACACCACGTGTGGAAAAGAAAAAAAATCAAAATTAGACGAAGAAAATAGTGTAATGGTCAAGGAAAATGCCTTGCAGAACACTCAGGAATAACGCTAAATAAAATTTATCTTTTTAAATGAATAAAAGTGAGGAACATCAGAAACAAAAAAAGGAATTCAAAATGAATTGAACTAAAGTTACAGTCAAAAAACCTCTCAAGTCAAAATGAAAAATGACCTCCTTTTCTGAGTAGTACCATTTCCTTATATTTTACATCCATAATTTAGACATCAGTTTAAACGGTTTGAAAAAGTGTTAAAACGAAATTAGACTATAAACATTTGTAATATAGAAAAAATGTTTCATTATAATAATAAATATTCTATGGATTTCAAATTTACTTAATCAAAGATAAAAACTCAAATATTGAACCGTAATCTTGTTATTCATATGACGCAAGAAAACTTTCCCTGACCAATGAAGAACATGCCGAGCGTGACGTCATTTCCAAAATTCCTTTAACATACATGTGCAATTAAAGAAATAGTTAATACGGAAATTTAATGATTATATTATTTAAAACAAAATAAAAATTTACTGACAAATTTAGCTTTTCCCATGTTAGTTTGTAACAACATTAATGAAAGTTTCACTTCACCATCGAAACTAAAGCAAAAGTATGCAGATATAATTACATTTTATATGCATTCTTTCATCACTATTTTGCATCTCAAAGTTTAAATAGTATACAACTAGCACATACTCGTAATTTAAGCCTTCATGCGCCCGTTTAATAAAACATTTAAACGAAAGTTTTGTTAAGATGTCGCGTCCGAGGGACCCACCTCTCTCCCGCCAACGGGCATTATAGCCGCGTCGGCCCTCCAAGTAGTGAATGTTCGTCACTGTCTTAGGGTCTTAATGAGAGCTGCTATTCTTGAAGGGTACAACTGGCCTTGCAATCCGTACCAACTCATTCACACACGTACTGTACAAAGTTCCATCACCTACTTACATTTATAACCCTTAGTGGGGCTCTTGATAGCACTCACTTCAGGGGCATGGATGGCAATTAGCTTTTCCTTGCTTCAACTGTCAGTATATAGCTGCCTTTTAACTTTGTGTTTTAATTATTTTTTCTGTCTTCTCTTTCAGTCTAAATTCGGGTAGTCCTAATTGTAAGTTAGATTAGGGACTCTTAGCTTGGTTTCCAATTAGGATATGATAGGTTAGGTTAAATTAGATTAGGGTTTGTTAACTTTAGTCCTCTGGTTAGGTTCGTCCTAGGTTATGGTAGGTTAGTTTTGTTAGTGAGTAAGTTAATGCTTAAAAAAATAATAAATAAATGAATAAATAAAAAATAAAATAATAATAATGATAAAACCAAAAAACAAAAAAAAAATTGGGGTCTTGCCCGTTTGTCTCTGTTGGTCTGTTCGTCTCGTCTAGTTTGTCATTGTGTTCGTTTCCTTTTCGAGCTGTCTGTTTAGTTGTTAATTAAGTAGTATTAAGATTCGCGATCGCGTTCAGTTTTATTAGTATTAAGCAGATACAGAGTCGGTAGATTAATCTTTCGACTAATAGTTCAAACTTAGCTAGAGACAATATTTGCCGCTAGTTGGCTCCACTGTTAGCAGAAGAGCGTTGTTCTTGCTATGTGTATACTGAGGTCAGTGATTTCGACTTATAATAATTGTGTTTTTTAGCTACATAAAAATGCTAACGTGCTTTGTGCCAGGATGCAAGGCAGGATATAAGTCATCGAACGAGAAGACATTTTTTCCGTGTTCCTAGCGATAAGATTGAGGAGTGGATGCGATACATTCCACGAGACGACAAGATGCTAACAAATAAATGTTACGTTTGTGACGTACATTTTGCGAGTAGATTTATTTTAAAAACCTTCTCTCATGTTATAAATGGAGAGAAAGTAGAAATTCCACGAGATCGCTGGGCATTAACGTCGGATGCATATCCATCAAACTTCCCTAATTGTCCTAAGTACATTAGTAGGTCTGTACCTCAAAAACGATCAACGCGATGTCTCACAAGAAATGAAGAACCATCTAGGAAGGGATCACAAAAAGACAATACCAAAGGTAACTATTTATGGTTTTTATGTAATCTTAATCCTCAGTGAGTCATGTAATTTTTTGCCCTTGCCTGAGTTGCAGTGCGTCTCTCGGACCCTGTGTTTTAATATAAAATTAAATTTTATCTATCTATCTATTTTATCTATATTTAAGGAACATTTTATATTTAAAAATTAAGTAAAGATTGAGCTGGGTTTGTGAGATCCACTGTGATTCACTGAGGGTTATCTCTCTGTGGCCCATCTTTCCTTATAAATACTTTAAGATTAATTGTCTGATATTTTTTTTTATCAATCATTAGATTTGCATGATACACACTCCCAAGTAACAACTGTAGAAAAGGAAGTAGAAGAACCCTCCACATCTGAAGCAGCAACTACACAGCATCCTGAGCTGTTATATGTCAATAAAATCTCTGCTTTGCAGTCTGAATTGTTAAAAGTCAAAGAGGATTTATATCGGTGCAGAAAGCAAAAGATGATCTATAGGAAGAAACTGAAAACCCTTCAAACAGAAAATCTCAAGCTTCATCAAGAAAATACTGAACTTAAAATGAAACAGTTGTCAGCTGATAAACTTGATTCCTTACCACCAAGACAGAAACTTATAATAGAGCACATGCTGAAAGCATGCCATATAAAAAGCAAAAAGGGTATGAGATATGACATTAATTGGTTACTTGACTGTTTACTTTTAAAAATTAGGTCACCATCTCTCTATGAATTTTTGAGAAATAATGATTACTTGCCTTTACCCTGTCAGTCTACACTGCATCAATATATCAGAGGCATTAATGCCAAATTTGGATTTGATGAAGATCTTTTTGTTATTTTAAAGACAAAATTGGAGACAATTCCACAAACAGAACGCCAGGGAGTTTTAATTTTTGATGAAATCACACTTCAAAAACATATAGAACTTTCAAAAGCTACTGGTGAAATGATTGGACTTGTTGATTATGGTGACAATTCTGAATTGCCACAGAGTGAATTTACAGCAGGTGATCATGGCCTAGTGTTTATGTTCAGACCTCACTTTGCTAGTTGGGTACAATGTATTGGCACATTCTGTTCAAAAAGCTCTGTCCCAGGTTCTACTGTTGCAAAACTTATTTTGCAAGCAATTATTCATTTAGAACAGTGTGGTGCAATAGTCAATGCAATAGTTTGTGATGGTGCCAGCACAAACAAAGCAGCTTTAAAAGCTCTAGGAATTTGTGCAGACACAAATAATATACAATGCTCATTTACAAACCCTGCTGCAGATAGACAAGTACTGGCTATTATTGATGTACCACATATTTTAAAATGTATGCGAAACAATCTTTTGAAAAATACATACTTTCAGGTAAAACTAAGAAAATAAAGTGTTTTCACCTAATTTATAATATAAGCCATTGCATTATTCTGCATTTTTACTTTTAGTTTCCTGAAGGAAGGGTAGAATTACAGCATTTTAAAGCAGTTGTTGATGAAGATTCCAAATTACCAAAGGGATTAAAGGCATGTCCCAAAGTGACAGAAATACATGTTAATCCCAATAACTTCCAGAGAATGAGTGTATTGCTGGCAGCTCAAGTAACACTTTTTTTTACTTATATAATCTTGACTTGATAAGAATACTTTTATTTATCTCATATATTTATAGATATTTAGTAATACTTTTGCTGATGCTATGCTGTTTTATAAACAGCGTGAGGTTGCTATCCTAAAGAATGCAGATGTTACAATAAGTTTCATACGTCACATCAATGCTCTTTTTGATGCTTTAAATCGTAGATTGCCACAGGAAGGAATCAGACATGATTCAAATGATCTCAAGGTAATAGTAATGATTCACTAGCAAAAACTATAAATGTTTTAATTAACAACTTTTTAAAAATAGGTTATTGAAGAATCTCTAGAATGGTTAAATAGATGGGAAGCATTCAGATTACAGATTAGAAGCACTGATCAAAAGGGATTTTTGAGCCACCAGACAGCAGAAAATCTACGCTTGACGCTGACTAGTATCTTAGCACTCGTCAGACAATTGCTTCCAAACTCATATTATATCCTGACAGCTCACTTTAATCAGGACCCATTAGAGGTAAAATTGACTTAGTGTAATGATTATATAATCTTGTATTAAACCTTAACTTATGTTTTCTTTTCAATTAGCGTTTCTTTGGAATGATAAGACAAGGAAGTGGAAGCAATTCTCATCCCACAACAGTACAGTTCTTATACCTGTACAGA